AAAAGTTATGGTGTAGAGTCGAGTTGGCAGAAACTACAAGCATTTCCGTTTTTGCGAGGTTCAGCTGAAGATGATGATCTTTCATCCAGTGTGAAATATCCAACAGGCAGGCTGAGATGCGAGCTGGAACCGAGGGATCATCAGGATGAAAAGAGAGGTATAGCTGGGTATCATCAGCATAGCAGTGGTAGGAGAATCCATGTCTCTGGATGACTGGTCCTAGAGATGATGTGTAGATGGAGAAGAGAAGTGGCCCAAGAACAGAGCCTTGAGGTACCCCAGTGTTTAGATGCTGTAGGTTGGACACCTCACCCCTCCAAGACACCCTGAATGACCTATCAGTGAGGTAAGATCTGAACCATTGTATAACAGTGCCCACAACGCCCAGTGACTCGAGCGTAGAAAGCAGGATCTGGTGGTTGACAGTGTCAAAAGCAGCTGACAAGACTACTACTAATGCTACTACTACTAAAAATAATTATTATCATTATTCTCTAACACAATATATTGATTATTAATTATTATTATTAATAATAATAATAATAATAATAATAATAATAATAATAATAATAATAATAATAATTATTATTATTATTATTATTATTTTATTATCTAACACAATTAAATATTTAATAATAATAATAATAATAATAATAATAATAATAATACCATGTTTACTTAATGTGATTAAAATCCACTGGCACAAAACAAAGTAATAACCAGACAAAGAAAAAGCCCATTCTGCAGCAGTTAGTGTGTGTTCAGTCAAGTTTATTTCCTAAATCTCTGTAGTAGATTCACATGATGTCTAACACTCAGCAGGCTGCAGCATTTCGGGAGCCTTTTTCTGATTATTTCCTCTTTCTTATTAAAGAATCCAAATCCTTCTACTGCTGCCATTAAAGCTGCGTTCCACACAAATTAAATCAAGGGGTTTAAGCGTTTGTAAACCAAAAGGGAGCGATGGAGGAATTTATTTCAAGTTCGCTTCACTTCAAACTAATTGAAACTGTATTTCAAGAGGACTCTTAAATTATGCAACGCAGATTTCCAAACACGAAAGGAGATACGCTATGATTGGAAGGCATGTTCCTTTAATTGTTTAACCTTATATTTAATATCTGAGGGAGGGAGGAATGACTGTTTAGGAACAATTCGAAGCAAAAACATAATAGGAAAATTCAATTGAGATCAGACAGTCTGTTTCTTCAGTTTGTTCCGAAAAATGTCTTGAAGTGTGTAATTGACTTCAATTGGTGTCTAATATTTACAGCATTATGCTTCAGAATGCACCGCAATTGCTTAATAGCAGAGTTTTACAATAGATCAGTGCTGTAGAATAAAAACGTGTCGAGTTTTAGTTCAAGTATTTCAGCAGATTGAATTCAAGCAGGTTCACTCAATAAATCAATTAACATTGGTAGTTTCAACCAAATTGCAATCATATGATTCAACAAAGGAATAGTTCACCCAAAACTGAGAATCTTGACATTATTTTACTCACTATTATTCAAACCTTTATGGGTTTCTTTGTACTTTTAAACACATAAGATATTTTGAAAAATGTTGGAAACTTGTAACCATTGACTTCCATAGTGTGTCTTTTTCCTGCCACGGAAGTCGATGGTTACAGGTTTTCAGCTTTCTTTGAAATATCTTTATTTGTGTTTAATGGAAGAAATAAACTCAGAAAGTTTTGCACACACTTGAGTGTGAGTAAATAGTGAGTGAATTACATTTTTTTGGGTGAACTGTCTCTTTAAGAATGAATCCGCAGATTGTTATATGAAACAGATTTTCATAATTTTATAAGCTGCGTCTCATTTAAGAGGCTGCATCCTCCGTAGGATGCAGACTTCAAAGGTAAGTCCTTCGAAGTGCACACAGGCTGAACCGAGCATTTTAAAATGAGACGATCAAGCCTAGTGGACGGATCTCTTCACCAGGCAACAGCTGCTGTTATGAAGCGCTGATCAAATTTGTAATGACTTTTTTTCAAAGTGATTTTAAAACTTATTGTAAGCAATCTGAAGGCAAAACAAGGCATACAAAAGCTGGAAATATATTTCCTTTGATCCATATATACATCGTAAAAAGTGAAAACTTCAACAAATTACTTTGACTTGTTACAATTAAATGACTTAAGTTTCATTCATTCATTTATTCATTTTCTTGTCGGTTTAGTCCCTTTATTAATCCAGAGTCGCCACAGCAGAATGAACCGCCAACCGCCAAGTTTTTACACAGCGGATGCCCTTCCAGCCGCAACCCATCTCTGGGAAACATCCGCACACACATTCACACACTACGGACAATTTAGCCTACCCAATTCACCTGTAGCGCATGTCTTTGGACTGTGGGGGAAACCGGAGCACCCGGAGGAAATCCACGCGAACGCAGGGAGAACATGCAAACTCCACACAGAAACGCCAACTGAGCCGAGGCTCGAACCAGCGACCTTCTTGCTGTGAGGTGACAGCACTACCTACTGCGTCACTGCCTCGCCCATGACTGAAGTTTGACAAACTTAATTTCTAAAAGATTTCAGTCATAAATTGAGTTAGTTATTTTAAGCGTAACACGTTTTAGTAATTTATTTTTGGCAAGTTTAAGTATTGTTCGCTATTACTAGTAAGCTACACTTGTACGTGTCACAAAACATAAAAGTAATATTATTTTTATTATAATATTAACATGGGAAGGAAATGATTTGCACTGTACTGTATGTACTGTTCCATTCTTGTTTCCTTAAATACAATACTAAACTTGTCACACCTTAAAGAACTAAATTAATTTATTACTGAAAACTGTCATGAATTAAGTTTGCCAAACTTCATTTATTTAATTGTAACAAGTCGAAGTAATTGAAGTTTTCACTTTTTACAGTGTGTACAAATAAAAATGTAAACTGTCTATAAAATCCCTCTTTAATATGACACGTCACACTCGTTTTGTGTACATATCCAAGTAAAATAAACCTAATTCATACATTTAAACCGAAGTTTTCTTTTAAAAACGTCCTCCCGTTATCAGCTCGCAATGAATCTTGGGACGTTCAAGGCCGTGAAGGATCCACCGGTTGTGTCCTTCATTACCAGGGAAACGAAGCAGGTATTTACAGGCTGAGTTTGAATGAGCCTTTACATTTTTTTTTAAATCAGTCGCGCCGTGATGACGCAGCACACTTTGAAAGCATCCTTCGGAGGATGCTGCCTCTGAAATGAGACACAGCTATAAGATACTGATCGAATCATTATCTGGTCAGTTTTAGCCAATTGAATGGCTTTAAAGTGAAATGAAGGAGTGGTTAAGTAATTGAAGAGTTTAGATACAAAAAGTGGCATCTGAAATCATTTTCTTCTAAAATGAACAGGAATAGTTCACCCAAAAATGAAAATCCTGTTATTATTTCTCAACATCTACTTGTTTCAAACGGTTTTAAATTTCTATGTTCTTTTAAACACATAAGAAGATAACATGAAAAATATTGGAACCGTTGATTACCATATTGTGTGTGTTTCCTACTGTGCAAGTCAATGGTTACAGGTTTTCAGCTTTTTTCGAAATATCTTCTTTTGTGTTTAATGGAAGAAAGAAACTCAAAGTTTGGCTTGAGGTTGAATAAATAGCGAGTGAATTGTAACTGATACTGATCGACTCATTATCTGGCCAGATTTAGCCAGGTGTTATGTAATTGAAGAGTTTATTTGTGAAAACTTCATCAGTAGCATCTGAAATTTTCTTCTAAGATGAATATTTTCCTCAGGCTTCTGTATGGACACTACCAGTCAAAAGTTTGGGATCAGTGCGATTTTTAAATGTTTTAAATTAAGCTTCTCCTGCTCACCAAGGCTGCATTTATTTGCAACTGTGAAATGTTATTGCACTATAAAATAACAGCTCAAAAGTAAATTATCATTTAATTTAATAATTTATTCCAGTGATTCTTAAGATGAATTTTCAGCTTCATTACTTCCTTACTTCACGTTTATTAGAGTTTATTATTATTATTGTTATTATTATTATTATTGTTGTTATTATTATTGTTATTATTATTATTATTATTCATTCATTCATTCATTTTCTTGTTGGCTTAATTCCTTTATTAATCTGGGGTCACCACAGCGGAATGAACCACCAACTTATCCAGCAACTTTTTCATGCAGCGGATGCCCTTTCAGCCGCAACCCATCTCTGGGAAACATTCACACACATTCACACTCATACACAACGGGCAATTTAGTCTACCCAATTCAACTGTACCGCATGTCTTTGGACTGTGGGGGAAACCGGAGCACCCGGAGGAAACCCACGTGAACGCAGGGAGAACATGCAAACTCCACACAGAACCGCCAACTAAGCCGAGGCTCGAACCAGCGACCTTCTTGCTGTGAAGCGACAGCACTACCTACTGCGACACTGCTTTGCCCATTATTATTATTGTTATTATTATCATTATTATTATTATTACTGTTGTTATTATTATTATTATTATTATTATTATAATTAAAAATGGTAATACAAATAATGCAATAATGACTGGAGAAAATAATTTCGTTTGAAACTACATACAATAAGAAAGCAGTTATTTAAATTTTTATAAAACATTAACAATTTAACAATATTTTTACATTTAATAAATGCCATCTTGATGAACAGAATCATTTTCTTGAAGAAAACCAAAAACATAAAAATAAAACCTGACTCCAAACATTTGACCGGTGGCGTAGGTTCAGTAATTTCACTTTTATTGCAAGTAATTTGATAATCATTTTTCACGTTATTTATTAGTTATATTTTCATTTTATTGCACATTTAATGTGAAATAGCTTAATATAAACACACTGTAAAAATGCTGGGTTCCACACATTCAATTTGTGATGGGACAACATGTAGGAATGAAGCTAACTAATTAGTTTTTACAAATTTAAGTGGATTAAACATAAAATAATGTTTTTCCCCAAAAACCTCAATAATTGTGTTGATTTAGCTTATTTAAAAAAAAAGAAAAAAAAAAGGTTTGAACAAACAGCAAACGTCATTCTTTGATTTTATGAGACATTTTTGAAGAACATTTTAGACAGCACAGAGGATTTTGCATCTAAACTCTTCAATTCTCAATAAAAGTCTTTCATGAAACATGAGTAAACATAACATCTTGAAACTGTGCTCTTCAATTATTCAACAAGATGCAGTTATTTTTCTTTGCGTGAATACAACATTGTACAGGTTTTAAACTGAAACTGTGATCTTTTGTGAATCATAGAATGCAAGTTCGTTTAAAAAAAAAAAAAAAAAAGCATGTATATCCAACTAAATACATTTTTTTAGGCTGTGGATAAGGTTGTAAATGTAAATGATATTAATTTTCGTGTACAGACTGAGCATTCATAAAACCTCATCAAGAGCCACAAACTGCAAAAATTCATTTCTTATTAATTAGGTTTTGTCTTGTTTCTAGTCCAAATATCCAACCATTCATAAATCAAGAAGCTCTTTCTTGGCAAGTAAAAAAAAAAAAAAAAAAAAAAAAAATTCCTCAAGATGAGCTAAATAATCTGTCAATGATGTAAGCAAATTAATTTTAAAAGTCTATTTTATTTACCTTCTGACAGACAGTTTAGCTAGTTTTAAAGGAAAAAGTCACTTAATGTTAACTTGTGATTTCTGAAAACAAGACATGCTTTTTTACAACTTGATTTAGGAACATTTTAAATATTTAGACTAGAAACAAGGCAAGGAAACCTCAAAGAAAACATCGCCTTGCAGTGTGTGGCTCCTGATGACTAGTAAATGTCTTATGAACTTTACACGTCAGTGTAAGTATTAGTGTTGCTTCTGTGTGTGTTTTTGAATCCTAAAGTACCAGTAGCCACTGAATTACATTTTATGAATCACCAAGAACCATAACTTCAGAAACTCTACTTTCTTCTTCAGCAAGAAAAAAACAAAAAGCATACCAAGTTTAGGGTGAACTGTGCCTTTAAATAAATTAACCAATCATGCAAACAATTCTTAGGTTGAACTGAATGCTGTAATCCACATAAAATTAGCATTTCTGATAGTGTTTGGTGAATGAGAATCAGCTTTATTTGTTCTTGCCGAGCGTTCGCTGTTTTTCAGCGTGTTCAACGATCTTCTCCTCAACGTAGAGGCCTTTGCGTTTGCGGACGGCGTTCATGTATTTCAGAGCCTGATTGGTCGAGTCTGCTTTTTCTCCGAAGTGCAGGTACTCTTCTTCAGTAGTGGGAACCCAGAACGGATCACTGCCGATAACCTGAAACACAAACATACCATGTGTATATCAATATATCAGTAGGCAATTCAAAACAAGACACCTTTTTATAAGATTTGTGCTGCGTACCAATTCACATAATTATACTATGCCCAAAAAGTGTGTACTTATTGTCAAGAAGCATATACTTTTGAGTGTGTAACAGAAGAGTATGCAAGTTTTGGGACATACTGTTATGTTGCTTAGTTAAGTCCCCTGTCAATACATCATCCACATTTCTTTCCTATGTAATTACCTATAGTGCATCTGTAAAGTCTTCATAGTGATTTACTTTTTCCACATTTTTTATATTACAGCCTTATTCCAAAATGGATTAAATTAATTTATTTCCTCAAAATAATTTTTCAAGTTTTTTTTAATTTTTGCAAATTTATTAAAAACAAAAAAACTGAAAATCACATGTACATCAGTATTCACAGCCTTTGGCGTGAAGCTCTAAATTGAGCTCAGGTACATTCTGTTTCCACTGATCATTCTTGAGATGTTTCAGAAGCTTAATTGGAGTTCACCTGTGGTCAATTCAGTTGATTGGACGTGATTTGACAAGGCATACACCTGTCTATATAAGGTCCCAGGGTTGACAGTGCATGTCAAAGCACAAACCAAGCATGAAGACAAAAGAATTGTCTGTAGACCTCTGAGACAGGAAACATTTCGGCTGCTCCAGTAAGCACAGTGGCCTCCATCATCAGTAAGTGGAAGATGTTTGGAACCACCAGGACTCTTCCTAGAGCTGGCCGGCCATCTAAGCTGAGTGAACGGGGCAGAAGGGTCTTAGTCAGGGAGGTGATCAATAACCCGATGGTCACTCTGTCTGAGCTCCAGCGTTCTTCTGTGGAGAGAGGAGAACCTTACAGAAGGACAACCATCTGTGCTGCAATCCACCAATCAGGCCTGTATTGCTGAGTGGCCAGGCTAAAGCCACTCCCCGCCTGGAATTTGCCAAAAGGCATCTGAAGGACTCTCAGACCATAAGAAACAAAGTTCTCTGGTCTGATGAGACTAAAATTGAACTGTTTGGAGTGAATGCCAGGTGTTACGTTTGGAGAAAACCAGGCACCGCTCGTCACCAGGCTAATAGCATCCCTACAGTAAGGCATGGTGGTGGCAGCATCATGCTGTGGGGATGTTTTTCAGCAGCAGGAACTTGAAGACTGGTCAGGATAGAGGGAAAGATGAATGCAGCGATGTACAGAGACATCCTGAATGAAAACCTGCTTCAGAGTGCTCTTGACCTCAGACTGGGGCGACGGTTCATCTTCCAGCAGGACAATGACCCAAAGCACACCGTTAAAATATCAATGGAGTGGCTTTACAACAACTCAGTGAATGTACTTGAGTGGCCCAGCCAGAGCCCAGACCTAAATTCTATTGAACATCTCTGGAAAGATCTGAAAATGGCTGTACACTGTCACTTCTCATCCAACCTGATAGAGCTTGCAAAGATGAATGAGCAAAAATTCCCAAAGACAGGTGTGCCAAGCTTATGGCATCATATTTAAAAAGACTGGAGGCTGTAATTGCTGCCAAAAGTGCATCAATAAAGTATTGAGCAAAGGCTGTGAATACTTCTGTACATGTGATTTTCAGGTTTTTTATTTGTAATAATATTGCAACAATTTCAAAAAATCTTTTTTCACATTGTGGAATGTTGAGGAAATAAATGAATAAGGCTGTAACATAAAAAAAATGTGGAAAAAGTGAAGTGCTATGATTACTTCCGGATGCACCATACCTTATTGGAGATGCAGCAGCAGTTTAATCTGCCATTCGCGGGTATTAATTGCAGTAAAATCTCCTCAGGTCTTTGGATATATATCCATTCAGAAGTTAATATCTTAAAGAGCCCATATTATGGGTTTTTGAAAATTCCCCTCCATGTAGTGTGTAACACAGCTCTAAGTGAAGTGAAGTATCCAGCTAAGGCTTAAATCTGTAAGAATACAGTGTTTAAAACTGTTGATTCATCTATAAAAGAGTCGACTCATAGTGCTTCAAACGAGTCGCCTTGATCACGATTCATTAGGTGTTTCGCCATGACGTACGAACGAAACCAAGTTATTCACGTGCACGCGCAAACCCGGGAGATTTCAAACCTGAGGCCCCGCCCTCTGACGCAGAAACCCAGACACACACACACCCACAAACACACACACACACACACACACACACACACACAAACATGCCGGTTGATTGAAGTCACACTGCAGATGGATATATTGAGTCTCTACCCAAAGATGAAACCTCAGCATTATAGCCAAGCAGTTGGAAACTTCTGGAAGCTACATGCTACAAAGAATACTTCATCTGAGTTTGTTAAAGGAAGGATCAGTAAAGAGTAACTGATGGACGTCAGGATGGGTTTCTTCCATTTCTCAAGTGTAAGTACGTGCGGTTAAAGTTGTTGCCTCGTTGACTCTAGCTTGCAAATGTATTTAGTTGTGATTTGTTACTTGTAACCGCGTGTACTGTATCAGGTTAACTGGATATTTTATCTTATCGCGTGCAAAGTCACGTTAAAAACGCGACGCGTGCTGTTTGTTTATGGAGCTCCGTGCTAGAGTTCTGCTCCCGCGATTTATTCGGAAATTTATTCCCGCGCCGCAGAAATCTGGCGCGGGGACAGCCGCGGGAATAAATTTCCGAATAAATCGCGGGAGCGGTCGGTAACGGGTTTAATTTGGGACGGGAGCGGGCTGTCTAGCAATATCACGGATATTGCTATGCGAATTAGAAAGAGAGAGTCTGCTTGGTATGAGAGAGCGTATGAGAGAGAGCGAGAGAGAGAGAAAGAGAGAGAGCGAACGAACGAACGAGCTTTGTGCTGTGTGTATGTGTTTATACAGACAGCTTGGCTGTCTGGACTGTATACTGGGTGATTTTTGGTTGTGTTCTCCGCTCTAGCGGGACCGGGCGCGGCGGGCAGAAAACGGAGCGGGTTCTCAGGCTAAAACCTGGCGGGTGCGGGCGGAAGCGGGAGCGTTGTCATCCGGAGGTGTGTGTGTGTTTTTGTGTGTGTGTGGTATGGCGAGTACACGACTGTCTCCTTCGTTCGGTTATCCGTGGCACTATCCACTCGCCATAGTGTGGCAGCTAAAATCCACGCCTACACTATCGAGCGTGTATGAACTGTGATTACTTTTTAAATTGCTGATTAGCTATTGGCCATTTCCCTCTCTGACTGAAGGCAGTCGACCAATCGCGACAGACTGTCATCGGTCCAATCAGCGCAGATTAGCTCCGCGCTAAGGAGGGGTTTGGGAACAAATGAATCACTGGACGATTCATACAGGAGTCGCTGGGATAATTAGGTAAAAATAAATGCAGATTATAAGACCATGAAAGTGTTTTTTGACATTGCATGCATATTAGACTGTTGTTGGAGACTCTTACAACCAAGATATGACCCTATTTCATGTATAATATGGGCTCTTTAATATAAGTTCAAATTGTTGTTGCAGATAAAATATAACATGGAAAATGTGATTTAAATATTTTCCAGTTGGTTAGATATTAATTAATATAAGTCATTAATAAGTTATTCAAACAACTCTACTTGATGGTTGGTCTTGTGTGTCTGCCAAGTTTGTACCCAAGTTTGTATGCACATTGATGCACAATGTATTGTGGGAAATATTAGTGATTAGAGTACGAACGCTTCTACACTTCTAATTTTTACCGGAAATAAATCATCCGGGAACCTTTAGCATGCTCTTTTCAACATACTATGGTTTGGATACTAGTTCTATTTTTAATACAATTTAGGATAGATTGTATGCAAATTGCGATGCAGCAGTAGTCTCAGCAGTCTCCTGGATATGTCTGAGAAGTTTTATCTTAAAATAAACAGTGAATCAAAAACATTATTTTCATTTGCGTTTCTTTAAATGCAAATGAGCTGCTGCTCCCCGCCCCACTTTCCAAAAGAGGGAGGAGCCTTTACAGCTTGTGCCTCAGATACTCAAGCAAAAACAGTCGAAACTCTTGATTAATGAATACAGAATACAATGAATTAATACTTTCTTTGAAATAAAAAAAAAATATATATATATAACTGCCAGGTATTTTGTTTACTGGACTATCGAATATAAATATGAAAATTAAATAATGTTGGGGGCACTGGTTCGAGCCTCGGCTGGATCAGTTGGCATTTTTGTGTGGAGTTTGCTAAATTGGCCGTAGTGTTTGAGTGTCATTAAGAGTGTATGGGTGTTTCCCAGTATTGGGTTGTGGCTGAAAGGGCATCTGCTGCATAAAACTTATGTTGGATAAGTTGGCGGTTCATTCCGCTGTGGCGACCCCTGATTAACAAAGGGACTAAGTCGAAAAATAAATAAATGAATGAATGAAATAATGTTGGGTTGAATCTACCAGGATTAGCTCATCCTCTGGTGTATTATGTAACGTACAGCACATTGTAAATTGCCACTGATGCTTCAGCAATTTTTATGACAAGTAATGGCACCATGTTCAGTTAATCTGCTGATAAAAGTTCAGATCATTAGAAATAGCACATAATATCTCTCCCTCTTTCTCTCCTTCCTCTCAGCATAGAAGAAAACTGAGGCGATCCAGAGCTGAAGCAGACCACGCAATTGTCCACTGTGAAGAGATACACATAATGGCCATTATATGAGGCCCAGCGAGAGCAAGTACCAGTGCGCGCACACACACATAGAGAGAGGGAGAGAGAGAGCAATGGGAGCAGGTGCTTGACGGATGACGCAATCCCAGCAGCAACACACACACACACACACTTGCACACAATATGAGCTCATGTTCAGACAATAGTGCGAGTGGTACAATTACTGTAAGAGTCCAGTGGGGCCCTGCACCTGGTCCCCGAGAGGCCCCGTGATGATCAACACGTCAGCTCAAACCATCTGATTTACACTGCCAGTTTTACTGTTCTGCATTTCTCATTTTAGGGGTGAAGTAATGTTTGTTTATTTAAAATAATAAATTAATTAATTCATTAATAA